GTCAATCTTTGGAATTCTCTACCCCAGGGGACTATGGTTTTAGCCATCAAGTAAGTTCAAGAAAGAGAATGATAACATTCTATTCACTCATGACATCAAGGAATATGGAGATAACGTTGGAATATAGCATTGAGGTAGATGATCAGCCATGATCTAGATTAGTAAAGCATGCTCAAGAATGGCCTACTCCTGCTCTTACTTTTTTTATCTGCTGGACTGGACTTAGTTTCTCCATTTCCATTTTCTCCACACTCATGTCAATACAAAAGTTTCCACTTGAAGTGCTATAAAATTCAAGGCTGCAGGCCTATTGCAGGAAAGTGGGACCATTGTAGGCGGTAGTATATTTTTGGCAGCATGGATTTAATGGGCCAAAGAGCCTCTTATGTAGTGTATGATTCTATGGTTCTTTCTATCTTGATCTGTCCTACACATCTCCTCATTCAATATCCTTTCCTCGACTCTGTGCTAGGTGACATCACCGATAGTTTCCTTTCATCATCCTCTACCTCCATTACAAATGACCATCATTGTTCGATCTTTAAAAATAACACTCCTTGGCTCAGCTGCTATCACTTAGTTATTGTCCACATCCAACTTTCCTTTTCTGTCTAAGGTCTTTGAATGCATTTAAAAACAGAAATTTCTGAAGAAACTCACCAGGTCTTGCAGTGCCTGTGGAGGGAAAACAGAGTTAACATTTTGAGTTCAGTGACCCTTCTTCAGAACTGATAGCAGATAGGAAAGGGTGATGATGGGCTAAGTGGGATGTGGGGAAAGGAATGTGCAGATAGGTGAAGAGGAAGCCCAAAGAGAGAAAATAAATAGAAATTGCTGGAAAGACACAGCAGGCCTGGCAGCATCTGAGGAGAGAAATGTGCTCATTTTCTCCAGTAATTTCTGCTTTTGCTTCTGATTTCCAGCAACTGCAGTTCTTCCATTTTTTTTGTTGAGAGAAAAAGAAAGTTAGGCAAACAAATGGATTGAGGTAGTAAAGCAGGAAAAAAATAAGCTGGATAGGTGATAATGGGGGTTTTGAGTTATAGAATCATAGGGTCATACTTGTCCTTGCCAACCAGTGTTCCTGAACTGAACTAGTCCCATTTGCTTGCATTTGGCCCATATCCATCTAAACCTTTTCTATCCATGTACCTGTTCAAATGTCTTTTAAATGTTGTAATTGTACCTGCCTCTACCACTTCCTCTGGCAGTTTATTCCACATACGCACCACCCTCTATGTGAAAAAGTTGCCCTCAGGTCCTTTTAAGTCTTTCCCCTCTCAACTTAAACCTCTCTGCCCTGTAGTTTTGGACTCACTCACCCTGGGGAAAAGACCTTGGCTATTCACCTTACCTATGCCCCTCATGATTTTATAAACATCTATAAGATCACCCCTCAGCTTCCTTCACAGAGTAAAATGTTCCAGTCTAAATAGCTCAAGCCCTCCAATGTTGGTAACATCCTTGTATATCTTTTTTTGCACACTTTCCAGTCTAATAACATTCATCCTATTGCAAAGTGACCAGAATGTATGCAGTACTCCAATGTGGCCTTACCAATGTCTTGTACAGCAGTAACATGATGTCCAAACTCCTGTACTCAACGCTCTGACTGATGAATGCAAAGTGCAAGTAAAAATGGATCAGCTGTGCTGAAAGTAATTCAAGTCATGATAGACCTGGGATGTCGGGGTGGGTAAAAGACATGGAAGGAGGTGTCCATGTTCTAAAATGATTAAACTTGCTCTTCCAGCTTGTGTTGAGTCTTGCTGGAGTACTGCTGAAGGCTTGAGATGGAAATGTCGGCCAGGGAACACAGTGGTGTGCTGAAGTGGCAGACAACTGGAAAATGAGGACCAGGGGACTGTATTGGCATAGTGGAATGGAAGAGAAGCAGTGAGAGCATAAATGTGGAAAATGGGTTGGACATGGCTGAGTGTCCTGTCAACCACTTGGTGGGGAATCTTCTGTTCAGGAAAAAGATGAACATTTCTGAGAAAGATGGCATCATCAGAACAGATGTAACAGAGATGGAGAAACTTGGTGAATGCAATGGAATCCTTACAGAAAGCATGGTGTAGTCAAGGTAACTGTTGGAGTCAGTGAATTTGTAATGGATATATGTGGCTAGCCTATCCCCAGAAATGGATACAGAGATGTCGAGGAAGAGAAGGAAGGAGTCATAGATGGACCAGGTGAAGGTGAGAGCATGGGTGAAATTGGAAGCAAAATTGATACACTTTTCCAAATTCAGATGAGAGACAGAAGCAGTACCAATTAAGTCATTGCTGTACTGGAGAAAGAGTTGTGGGGAGGGACGAAGTAGGACTGGAACAAGGAATGTTCCACGTACCCCACAAAAAGACAGGCATAACTGGGGCCCATGCATATCCTAAAAACGCACCTTTGATCAATGAAAGTGAGAGGAGTTGAAGGAGAAGTTGTTCAAAGTGAGGATGAGTTCAGCCAGATGGAGGAGGGTGTTGGTGGAGGCGAATGGTTCAGGTCTTCTTTCCAGGAAGCCACGGGGAGACCTAAGACCACCTTGATGGGGAAAGGATGTGTAAATAATACCTTTTCCTATTTGCTATCAATTCTGAAGAAGGGTTGCTGGACTTGAAATGTCAACTCTGTTTTCTCTCCACAGATGCTGCTAAACCTGCTGAGTTTCTCTAGCAATCTTTTTTCAGATCTCCAGCAATTTAAATAAATGATTTGGATGTGAGCATAGGAGGTACGTTTAGTAAGTTTGCATATGACACTAAAATTGACAGTGTAGTGGACAGCAAAGTAGGTTACCTCAGAGTACAACGGAATCTTGATCAGATGGGCAGGTGGGCCAACAAGTGGCAGATGGAGTTTAATTTAGATAAATGTGAGGTGCTGCATTTTGGAAAGGCAGATCAGGGTAGGACCTAAACAGTTAATGATAAGGTTCTGGGGAGTGTTGCTGAGCAAAGAGACCTTGGAGTGCAGGTTCATAGTTCCTTGAAAGTTAAATTGCATGTAGATAGAATAGTGAAGAAGGTGTTTGTTATCCTCGCCTTTTTTGGTCAGTGCGTTGAGTATAGGAGTTGGGAGGTCATGTTGTGGCTGTACAAGACATTGGTTAGGCCACTTCTGGAGTATTACATACAATTCTGGTCTCCATCCTATCGGAAAGATGTTGTGAAACTAGAAATGGTTCAGAAAATATTTACAAGGATGTTGCTAGGGTTGGAGATTCAAGCTATAGGAAGAAGCTGAATAGACTGGGGCTATTTTCCTTGGACCATCGGAGGCTGAGGGGTGACCTTATAGAGGTTTATAAAATTATGAGGGGCATGGATAAGGTGAATAAGGTCTTTTCCCAGGGTAGCGGAGTCCAAAACTAGAGGGCATAGATTTAAGGTGAGAGGGGAAAGATATAAAAAGGACCTAAGGGGCAACTTTTTCACACCTAGGGTGGTCCGTGTATGGAATGAGTTGCCAGAAGAACTGCTGGAGTTTGATATGATTACAACGTTTAAAAGGTATATGAATAAGAAGGGTTTAGAGGGATATGTGCCAAATGCTGGCAAATGGGACTAGATTTATATAGAATATCTAGTTGACATGGATGGATTGGACCAAAGGGTCTTTTTCTGTGCTGTATATCTTTACTACTCTATGGGTCTATCTGCAGTTCTTTGTTTTAGTATTTGAATGCATTATTGCCTTCAAGTCTGTATCTGATTAGGGAAGGCAATGGCCTAGTGGTATTATTGCCGGACTGTTAATCCAGAAACGTAGGTAATGTTCTGGGAACCTGGGTTCAAATCCTGCCCTGGCAGGTGGTGGAATTTGAATTCAATAAAAATCTGGAATTAAGAGTCTAATGATGGCCATGAATCCATTGTTGGTTGTCAGGAAAAACTCATCTGGCACTAATGTCCTTTAGGGAAGGAAACTGCCATCCTTACCTGGTCTGGCCTACATGTGACTCCAGACCCACAGCAATGTGGTTGACTCTTAACTACCCTCTGGGCAACTAGGGTTGGGCAATAAATACTGCCTAGCCAGTGACACCCTCATCCTGTGAATAAATGTAAAAAAAATCTGAAAGGAAAACAATTTGAACCTGTTCATTTAGGCTTTCACTCCACTCACCACCAAATTAGTCTTTACAAATGCATCTTGTGTAGGTGTAATCATGTTAGTTTATATCTCTTTGTCTGCTCTTCCTAAGATCACAAATGCAGGTGATCTGGGAGCGAGCTATGTGCAAATGGATTCCTGGGTTTCCTCCATTTACAAAAAGTGTCAACTTTTTAAAAGCACTTCACTGGTTGTAAAATGCTTTATGATATCCTAATGTCATAAAAGGCAAGATATACATATGTACATTTTTAATTCTACTAAGAAATGTGAGAGTCTGAACACAAAACAGGAATTATGATAGAGAAAAAAATTATTGCTGATTGTTCAGAATAAATTAAACTGCAACTTGGTTCTATAATTGATTACAAATCTTAATTGGTTGGAAAATGTTGCAGTGGCAAAGGGGTTCATGCATGGGGTTTGATGAGTCATTGCTGCCGAAAATCCCAAGCATTAACGTCAACTGGCAGCTCCATGCATTAACACTAACTGCACCCATATATTAGCATGAACTGAACCCCAAACATTAACACCAACTGAGAGTCCTACACATTTGCACTGAGTGGAGTTCCAGGCATTAACAACAACCGAGAGCCACAGATGTTAACAGTTACTGGGAGCCCCATTGACTGGGACACCAACGAGAATGCCCATGCATTAACAACGACTGGAGCTTCACACACGAACATTGACTGGAGTCCCATACATTTACATTGTCTGAAGTCCCATGCATTTACACTGACTGGAGTCCCATGCATTTACATTGACTGCAGTCCCATGCATTTACATTGACTGCAGTCCCATGTATTTACATTGTCTGAAGTCCCATGCATTTACATTGACTGGAGCTTCATGCATTTACACCGTCTAGGAGCTTGTACATCAGCGCGAGCTCCGCTGTGACAGGGCAGGACGCGTTTCCATGGTAACGCGGGCGGAGCGCTGACACATGACCGGTAACGTAATGCGGGACGAGCCTTGATTGACATCCGGACCTGGATCCTCCCCTTATCCGGTTGGATGAGCGCTTGCTGAGCGTCTGAGACCTTAGAAGTCGGTGAGTATGAGGTTGGGGTGTGTCTCTTAGGGCGTTCGGCATTGCTAATGGGTTTTGGGAATGGGAGGGCTGTTGTTTTTGTGCGTCTTCAGTGTAAATGGATCCCATCCAGCCAGATACTGACCAAAGGCCTGCCAACCTGACGTGGTACATCTGGTGGAAATGTGACCTCAAACACCTTTACTGCGAAATCTCTTTGTGCAGCTCAGGCCAGTTGTATGGGCAATGGTTTTGAAGAAGTTAATGTACATGTCTTATTGAGCTGCACCCAATTGATGCCACACCCTGTCTTTGGGTGGAGATAGTAAATTCTCGGTTGGCCTTTGCAGGGATTGGAGGTATTCTATAAAGCTCTTGATAGCACTCCTAAGTATGAAAAGAAAAATAAAGCAGAACTATGATAAGTTTTTTTTTAAAACAAAGCAGATGTGGAGGGAGGCAATGATGTGGTGGTAAATTTATCAGATTAGTCACCCAGAGACCCAAATCCACCCCTGCCTATGGCAGATAGTGAAATTTTGGTACACTGGAATTAGAAAACAGATCCAGGTGCTCTTGTGGTGTATTTCTACCAGTTCTAATGTCTCAGGCTATTCTATCCCCTGTCCAGTTGGCAGGCCTTTAGTCAGTATCCCCCTGGATGGAGGGAACCATTTCCACTGAGAGAGTGGCCGCACTGTAATCAGCGCAAAGCCCAACTAGGTCTTTATTTTCTAATCAATCTGTTTAGAGATGTTATCACAAACCTGTGGAGCAGTTGGGACTTGAACCCTAGGTCTCTTGGTTCAGAGGTAGGGATGCTGTCACTGCACCACATGAATCCTTGGGGTCTGCTATGTGTTATTTTTGAGTCAATTTGTTCAGAGATATTATTCCACACCACTGGAGCAGGTGGGACTTGAATCCACTTTCACGGCAGCTTATCGTAGTCCTCAACAGTCTGAATATCTCTTGAACTGCTTCCAGTGGCCTGCCTTAAGTATGGGGATCACAACTGTGAACAGTACTCTAGGTGCAACCCACCAACACCTAGTACAGTTATAATAAAACTTTCCTTTTTTTTAAACCCCCTAGTGATAAAGGCCAAAGTTCCATTTGGCACCTTAACTACATGCTGCCAATGTTCCTGCTTTGCTGCGCACAAGCACAGCTGCTCCAAGGTTCCACACGTGGCGATCTATATGCAAATGATGGTCGTGGCATCAGTTTTCGCTTCAGGAATTCACTGCTGTGGGAAGCCCCCTCAGCTGGGAACAACATGAGAGGCAATGCTACTTACTCTACGTGCTTGCGAAATTTTCATGTACAAGAACGTCCAAATTCCTGTCTCCAACTAAGAGTCTGCCTTCCAATTCTTCCTGATTTTCTCCTATCTCTCATTTTCCTACATTAAATTCACCTGCCAAGTTTTTATCCACTCACTCAATCTAGCTGTGTCATTTTGCAGATTCCTATGTTTGTGGCACAATGTGCCCCCCCACTTATTTTTGTAGCATCACCAAATTTGGATATGTTACACTCTGGCCTTCTCCAAGTCATTAATATAGATAATAAATGATTGAGAAACAAGGACGGATTCTTATAGCACTCCATTAGTTATTTGCTTCCAATCTGAAAAAGACCCATTAATCTGACTGTCTTCTGTGTAACAACTAATCCTAAATCCACACTAGTACAAATCTCCCAATTTGTTGAGTTCCTGTGTTGTGCAGTAGCCTTTTTTTTTAAATGTGGCACCTTGCAGAATAGCCTACCTTTGTTCCTTCATTGCTTCCATTCCTCAAGCACAATTGGAGGCCTTGCTAAAGTAGGAAGATGCATTGTTCAAAGTTGGAATTTTTTTTGCCAACTCTTTCAGCTAATGCTAGTTAAAGAAAGTTGTTGTTGAACTCTGAAATAACAAGGCGTAGAGCTGGATGAACACAGCAGGCCAAGCAGCATCAGAGGAGCAGGAAGGCTGACGTTTCGGGCCTAGACCCTTCTTCAGAAATCTGTTGAACTCTGTCTTTCTTTGGGGAATGAAAAACTGTAGGTTTGCAGCTTCACTGCAATTTATAACCATCAGAATTAAAGAAGCTTCACTTTCTAGTATAGCAGTAGTTAGTTTACTGATAAGGTTCATTGGTAAGATGGTATGGCCTGTAGTAAGGAGCCATTCAGCATGGAGGGTAATTTGCTTTTAAAATAAGTCTAATCTCACTGGTGTTTTAATAACTTCACCTTCTGAAACATAGAAGCACAGTGGCTCAGTGGTTAGCGCTACTGCCTCACAGTGCCAGGGACCTGGGTTTGACTCCAGCATCAGGCAACTGTCTGTGTGTAGCTTGCTTGTTAGCCATGTGTCTGTGTGTGTTTCTCCCACAGTCCAAAGATGTGCAAGTTAGGCGAATTAGCCATGCTAAATTGCCCATACTGTCAAGGGATCTGTAGATCCATGTGTAGACTAGGTGGATTAATCATTGGAAATGCAGGGTTCCAGGGATAGTGTAGTGGGTCAGAGTTTGGCTGGGATGCCTTTCGAAGGGTTGGCGTAGCTTGATGGGCAGAATGGCCTGCTTCCACACTGTAGGGATTCTAAATCTGTATGTGGGGTACATGTGAGATCACAAATAAGGATTAGAAGGACCATGCGGTGCATGTCTGTAGATAGGTAAGGTGGTTAAGAAAGCATGAGTTGCTTGCCTTTATTGGTCAAGGCATTAATCATAACAGCAAGGAGATTGTCATGGGCTATATGCAACGTTAGATATGTCACAACTGGTGTACTGTGAGAAGTTCTAGTCACCATTATAAAAGGATGTGATTTGCAACCTGTAGTGCAAAGGAGATTCCCTGGGATGTTGCTTTGGTTGGTTCTTGATTAGTAATGGGATCAAGGTTTACAGGGTGGAGGCAGAAGAACAGGGTTGAGAAACGTGTCAACTATGATCGAATGGCGGAGCAGATTCGATGGGCCAAATGGCCTAATTCTGCTCCTATATCTATGGTCTTGTGGAACGATTTAGCTGTGAAGAGTGACTAGAAGGGCTGGAGTTGTTTTTCTTGGAGCAGAGAATGCTGGCGGATTTGGGGCGTTGAGGAGGTGCTTAGGTGGGTGAAGGTGACCAAGGGGCATAAATAAGGAGAAAGATTTCCCTTGGTAGACAAGTTAATACCAGGGGACACAGAATTGTGGCAGGGAGACGGAGGTTTACAGGGGATTGAGGGGAAAAAGTTCACACAGATATTGGGTATCTGGAAGTCCCTGCTTAAGAGTGGTAGAGGCAGTACCCTGAAGACATTTGAAGTATTTAAGTTAGCACTTCAAATGCGATAACATACGAGGCTATGGGCCAAGTGCTGGAACATGGAATTTGAAAAGATAAATTCTTTTTGACCATCACAGGCATGATGGGCTGAAAAGCCATCTTCTGTGCTGTAAAATCCAAGATTCTAATGTTATGGCTCTGGGCACACATGATATTGTACAGCAGGAGTACATAGCTGATTAGAGATCACAGTTCATGTCTGTAGCAAACAATGCTGAACCTGCAACACCAAAGAAAAAGCAAGTTTGGATTCTGTAGCTGAGTTTAAGACTTAATTAATTGTCATTCATGGCTCAATTAATAGCTTGCTTGTCTGTGAGTAAGGATGTTGTCGTTTCAAACCACACCCCAGGGGTTTGAGCATGAGCTCTAAATTGATGTACCTGGCAAGGGGGTTTTTTAGTGCTAAAGGTGCTGTGACATCTTTTGGAAGAGATGTGAAACCAATGTGTTTGGCTGTCATTTTGGACAGAAGAAATGGCACATGTCTGTTTTCAGGCAAGATTTCTTCTCATACATAATGACTTTAGAAGTTTTTATTTCTACAGGTGGTATTGTGGCTGCACCGACCACATGTAGCAGTGCTGTTCTTAATGTTCCACTAAAACAAATGAATATTGACAGAACGTGCTGCAAGAATGAAAAGAAAGAGCTCAGTTTCTGAAGGTGTTGAATTTATTTTTACACCACTAGTAATACTAGAGCTTGCCAAAGATACTCGAGAGGAGACGACAGAATGGCTAATTCAAAAAATCAAAGATGCAAAGCACTTGGGCGGTAAGTGTGCCACACATGTACATCTATTGGTCTGAATTTCTTTACAGTTATTGTGTATTTTGACAAAAAACTGAAGGGGATTTTGGTCTGGAATATGCTTGCTTTTTTGATTCAACAAAAATCAAAAACATTTTGTCTCGAATGCAAAAGCCACTTGATTTTAAAATAAAGATGCTGGAAACGGTCAACTTTTTAAAAATGGGTCATTTTTCTTTGTTAATTGTTGTTGTGTAATGCCTCATTTCACTGTGTTTTACTATGTTAAGAGTGTTTCATAAATGTAATAGAAACAGAAAATGCTGGAAGTACTCAGCAGGCCAGGCAGCCTCTGTGGAGAAGAAAGCAGAGTTCACATTTCAGATTGGAGGCTTTTCATCAAAACTGACCTGAAACATTGGGTGAGATTCTAAGTTACTCAACGCATTGGCTCAGTGGTTAGCACTGTTGCCTCACAGCGTCAGGGACCCGGGTTTGATTCCACCCTGGGGCGACTGTCTGTGGAGTTTGCACATTCTCCCCGTGTCTGCGTGGGTTTACTCCGGGTGCTCCGGTTTCCTCCCACAGTCCAAAGATGTGCAGGCTAGGTGGACTGACCATGCTAAATTGCCCGTAGTGATCAGGGATGTGTAGATGAGGTTGATTATAAGGGGATGGGTCTGGTGGGATGCCCTGAGAGTCGGTGTGGACTTGTTGGGTCGAAGGGCCTGTTTTACACACTCCAGGGATTCTATGATTCATTCATGTGAGCTAAATATCAGGTCCATTAACTCTGTTGCTGTCTGTACCAATGCTGCCTGCTTTCCAGGATGTTTCTCTGTCTTTATTTCAGGTTTTCACTGTCTACAGTACTTCCCTTCCTTTTGTATAAAAGAAAAGGTGGGTGGGGGTAACTCCCACACACCATATTTAATGCGAGGAACAGAAAATTAAAAACTATTTAGGTAAATGGTGATGGGGCCTGGGTTGTTTGCAGATAAGCAAAAAGGGGTGTAGACAGGTCGAGAGAAGTGGCTGACACCTGAAATAGTTTGGAAATGATGCATTTTGGTCTGAAAGGGCAGTTCTAGTTCTGTTAACGCTTCTTCAGGCTCATAAAATTGTCTCGGCCTCACTCAATACTGAACAATGTTTCTCCTGGCGTCCCTCACGTTTTCTGCAAAAGTGCACTGACAACAGTACAGAAGCTGCATAAAGGTTTGCAGACTCTTCTTAGTCATCCCACTGAGATCCTGGGATTCTCTCCTCATGCTCACAATCCTCTCGACCTCAACTTTTTTTCTTGATGCTGGGATACTAATCGACATTCCTAGATCCAGAGACCGATCTTCCCCACTGTTCTTGGGATCTCAAAGTAATGCTACACTCCTGAGAACTGTACCCTACTTTACTCAAATCTCCGTGCAGCCTAATTGATGATCAGCAAGTCTATCTGTTTTTGCAAAACAAAATCTGAGTAATTGTTTGGAAGACCTTTTAAGTGTATAAACTAATTATGTTTCATGATATTATGCACCTTTGTTCATAATAGATTGCACTGCATTTGTTACAAGCAGTGCTGGCCTTGTACTTATGTTATACACTTGCATCAAATAACATAACTAGTATGTTGCACCTATTATAGTCAATAAAGTGATACTGATGGAATTGGTGATAATTGGCTGATTTACTGTAAGTCCTTCATATTGTGGGATTTATTCCTTTTAAAAGGAGCTCATTTGAGTATCAGACCTTTGGAGGAAAACTCCAAAGTATATGTTATCGGAGCATCTTGGAAAAGGCTACTGCTTGGAGCTGAAAGCTTGGGTTTCATTAAGGAATTTCAGGATGGATCAATGAGAGTCTTTACATACAACAATAGAGAGGATTACAAACATTTTACAGGTAAGCATCATTGTGTATTTAAAAAAAAAAATTGTAACGTTGCAGTTCGTTTCACCCCCTGCAAGGATCCAAAATATTCTGCACCAAAATATTTATTATCCAGCTAGTGCTACTGGTCCCAATCAGTTACTGAATTCCAGTAGCTATGCTCTTGCAGTGACTTGATGGCGTAGCAAATATTTTAATTCAGCTCTTAAATTTTGATCCAAGTTAGCTGTATGGAGGGAAGACATATGTTAGGATTTGATGTAGTATAAATCCCTCAAGCATTAGCATAAAAAGAAACTGAAGAATCACATTGCAAAAGGTGAATGGAAAAGATAGTGAAGAAGAGAGTGAACTCTGAAAGTGACTGTCTCTGATTTTAATATACCCCCCTACAGCTGTTGAGTGGTCTGGACAACCACTTTTTTCAAGTGCAGTCAGCAAATATTCAGCGACTATCCAAAGCTAAACTTCCATTTGACGTTTTAGTTTTGTCCTAAAAGTGTAAATCTTATTTGATCAGTGTAGAGTACCATATATCTGTGTAAAAGTTGGGTTTTAGACCAGAGCTGGGGGTCAACTTAAATAGGAACAGTATTTTTGAGGAGTTGAAATCCACCCTCCAGAAGTCTGAAAAAGTTGGAGAATTTGGATGGTTCTGATGAAATTAAGTAAAATTAGTCTACTGGGGAAATGTGATACAATTAAATAGTTATTCAGGAGTCAGACTATTAAATAGACACCACACTTAACTTAAGCACAGCCAACTACAACCCCAGAACACTTGCCCACCCGACAATCTGGGACTCTGCATTCTCCACTCCCCCATACATCCACCCAACCTTGGGACCCGGTAACAGCCCATCCTGGAATCAATCGCCCTGGAGTCTAGACCCTGGCCCTGATCTGCATTTGAAACCACACCACACCTCACCGCGCCCCCCCCCCCCCCCCCCACCCTTCCCCCCCCCACCCCCCGCAACCTCTCTGAGGCCCACACCAGATCTGACTTCCCTCCTATCAGCAACAATCATGCCACCCCATCCCAGGCTGTCACCACCAAACCTGAGATCCATTCTGCGATCTAACACCCTTTCTGCTGGACCTGAATATCCCTTCCTGTTGGCTGGACGGCTGGACTTGACTGTCTTCTACACCTTACCCGAGCCCCCAAGTGCTGAAAACTAACTGTCAGAATGAAAGTACGGGTCTGCTATTTCTAATGGAAACTTAAACAGAATCTCCTTAAGAAATGTGGAGGTCCCTTTGTTCACAAAAATCAACGGCCAGAATGGTAAACAATGCGGGATTGCAACTGTCTGGAAAATCTTGCCCATTGATGCATTAACCATATATGTTAATCTATTTTCTCACTGTAATTAGTAAATTTAATTTTATAAAGTTTAATTTTGAAGTATTCATGTGTGAATTATTCACTTGGAACTTTAGGACAGCCTAATTATCACTTTTTTTGTGTTGATTCTTGGAAAATGTGAGCATTCTAATTGCCAAGATTTTTGTGCTCCAACTAAGATTTGTTAACTCTACATAGACCTGTCTTTGCATGTTCATGATCTACAATTTTGCTTTGCAACAATTCTAATACTTGCCAGGCCAGCCTTCCATCTTAGTCTTTTATAAACTTGAACTCATCTGAAAATTTGTCATTCCAACTCCTCCTTGCCCTCCACCCTTTTGTATTCGTTGATGTATGTTGGCTCCTAGTTTGACATAACTTAAATTTTTTTTAAAGTATTCCCATCCTTGTTTTGAAATCCATGCATGGTCTCTATCTCTTCCAATCTCTCTGACCTCCTCCAACCTGTAATCCTTCATTGTCTCTATATCCTTAAAATACGAGGACACACGTAAGAAGTAGGCCATGTTACCCTGGAATCTTCTCCACTATTCAATAAGATTGTTGGAGAGCTTAATCTGAACTTGACTTTCCCTCTTTATCCCTTTGAGTCTAAACCTAATCTTGTCACTTTTAAGTATCTAATGACAGAACATCAATAACCCTTTGCAGCAGAGAAAGCCAGAGATTCACTCTTCTGAGCAAAGAAAATTTGCTACATCTTAGACCTAATTATCTTGTCTTATTCTGAGACAGTAGTCTTCCTTCTAGCCAACAGAGGAACATTTATTCGGTTAGGCTCTCTCAAAATCATATTTCAGTGAGTTCATCCCTCATTCTTCTAAAGTCCAGAGTGTGTGGGTCTAGCCTGCTCAATTTCTTCTTATAGGATAACTTAATTGGAACATATCTGAACCATGTAAATCCTTCCTTACTTAGAGTCCAAAATCGTATATAGCACTCGGCATGTAACCTCACCATAACTTCGTACAATTATAGCAGCACTACCTTACCCTTGTAATAAAGTCCAATATGCGCATTCTGGTCTCCTACGTATTCCTAATTTTAGGTGGCCGTGTCTTCATTTGCCAGCACTTTTTAAGTCCATCATTTTCTGCCCATCATTTTCTGCCAAAATATCCTCATGTCTCTCTCCACTTCTTTTAAGGCATGCTTTAAGACTTGCCTCTTTCACCAAGCTTTTGACTGCTTGACCAGATATTTCTTTGTGGCTCAGCATCGCATTTTGTCTGATACTGCTCCTGTAATACACCATAGAGCATGCTACTATGTTAGAAAGTGCTTTATAAATGCATGTTCTTGTTTTCAGATGATGACAGTGATTTTCTGACGATGGCAGAAAAGCAGTACATTATCAAGCGTGAATTGGAAAATCTGAGGGCAGTAAATGAGACCATGGTCCCTGGTCACCCACAAGCCAAACTCTACCCTGGAAAATCAATCTGTAAGTTGCTCGTTTTTTGAATTTCAGCTTCAGTTGATTCTTGGGGATGATGAAAATGGAGTGGAGGGGGGCAAAAATGAGTAACAAAAATTTCACTTGTAATGAATGATTGTAGAAGCTTGGACTGGTTACCTTGGAGAAGAGAAATCTAAGAGAAATTTGATAGAAGTTTTCAAAATCATGGCATTTGGCCAGAGTGGGTAGGGAAAAACAAAATGTTCTTACGCCTAAATAAATTAAACAAAACCACGGGACACAGTCTTAACAGGTTTTGCAAAAGAAGCAAATGTAAGGTTGGGGGGTGGGGGAAAATATTTCTCACACTGTGTAGTTGGGATATGGAATGCACTACTTGGAAGTGTGGTGGAGACAAGTTCAATTGAGGCATTCAGATGGCATTGAATGATTTGTTTCTATTCAAATGGGGGAGTCCAAAACTAGACGGCATAGGTTTAAGGTGAGAGGAGAAAGATTTAGGAGAGATCTAAGGGGCAACTTTTTCATGCAGAGGGTGTTGTGTGCATGGAATGACCTGCTAGAGGAAGTGGTGGAGACTGGTACAATGACAACATTTTAAAAGGCACCTCAATGGGTACATGAATAAGAAGGGTTTAGAGGGATGTGGGCCAAATGCTGGCATATAAGCCTAGGTTTATTTGGGATATCTGGTCAGCATGGACAAATTAGATCGAAGGGTCTGTTTCCATGCTGTATATCTTTGACGCTATGACTCTAAGTATTCAGCAACATGTACAGTTTCAGCAGTGTGAGAAACAGTTCAGTTTCTCAGGTTCATTTTTTTTTTTGTCTGATCTGGGAAAAGGTAGTTAATAAATCCTCTGCCTGAGGGATGGTACCCCCAATGAAGCATCGCATCACATAATTTAGATTCAGTGTTTTGTACAAGGCAGTATTGCTCTTTGTTATACTCTAGGTTGACTCCGTACAAAATTAGTGATTTTTGATCCAGCTGCTGTGTGACAACTAATTCCTAGCAAGTGTTGAACGTCAGTGTTTTATACCTCATCTTGTGTGTAGAAATGCATGGAGCCAGGATAGTTGCAAGTAATTTCATTTGCTTGCAGTAATATAGAATTTAGTTGTCACTGCAATAGATCTTGAATCTCGCTCTTATGTGTATTTGCAAAATTTATATGTCTCAAGCATTTTGGGTGAAAACGTACAAAACGAATAATTATATAACTTAAGAGCTACTTGTATTTTCATCCAGTTCGCCGTTTGCAAACCAGTGGAATTCTAATTCAACTCTATCCCCTGCATGACCCAGCAGAACTTAAAAAGCTCAGCTTTATCTGGTATCGGCAAGTAAAATTTTCCTTTCAGCCCCTTGGTAAGTCAGTGTATGTTGTAACATCTTATTTGCATTGAAAACTCAGTCATACGGTAATGGTTTATCCAGGTGCATTTAAATGTGTACGAGGTATTTGTTCCCTGAAGCAGAGAATCCACTTTCACAAATGTGTTGCAACAGCTCATTTACTGCTCAACATATCTGACCAGGAATTAGTTTTCTGCTTGCTGTTGCAGTTTCTCTTGATGCTTCGTTAATTGCATGAGGAGACCTTGGAGAGTGATAGCATCCCTGCCTCCTCACTACTCCCAAAGAAAGTAGTGTATGTGAAGAGATGCTTTTAAAAATTGGCTGTATGAACTGACATCTCTATTCTCGGGTATAATAGGAATGATTGGGCAATTGTTCTGTCAGATATACCTGGAGATGGCATTTCTGAAAGTGACTGGGTTTAAACATGGAGCCATACAGTCCATTGAGCCCGCTGCAGCATTCAGTATAATTATCCATGTCCAGTGCTTTCTCCCTTTACCTCATTGGTGTTTAGGAATCTGTCAATCTCTATTTTAAGTATACTCTGAGCCTCCGCAGCCTTCATGGTTGGAGAATTCCAAACGTTCACAATCCTCTTGATCAAAAGATTTCTCTTCACCTTGCTCCAAAGTGGCTTTCTCTTTGTTTTTTAAATTGTGTCTATTGGTCCTAGATGTCCTAATCAAGGATAACATCTTACCTGCATTTACCTTGTTTATTCCTTCAGTATTTAGTTAATTACAATGACATCGCCTCTCATTCTTCAGAACTATGGATAATTCAGGCTCCGTTTACCTGACCCCTCTGCATGGGACAGTTTTGCTAACCCCGGAACAAATCTAGGCATTCCCTCTGTGGTAATAATATATTTCCTAAAAATGTACAGTGTTCTAGGTGCAATCTAATCAGTTCTATATAATTGATGCAAGACTTTGCTACTTTGTACTCAAAACCTCTTGGTATGCAATTATATTCCACTCATTTGCATTTTTCTGTAGAATTTCCCTTTTGGTTAATCTAGAAGGTGCTGCTAGGTTTTTGCATGAATTCTGTTTGCTATCATTTTGTTTTAAAGAATGACATGTAAAACAACAGAATGAATATTATTCCAACATGCTTGTGCCAATTCTTTGAAAGAACCACCCAATTGATCGTTGACCCCCAACTTTTTCTTTGTGGCCCTGTTATTTGTCTCTCCTTTATATGTATTTAACTAATTCCCTTTAGAAAACTAATACAAATTTGCTTCCACCATCTTTGACGCATTGCATTTCAATTCACAGCAATTCCTTGCGTTCATTTACTATTAAAACAAAACTCCTCTCAGTACCTGGAATAGTTTCCCAGCGCCTAATACTCAGCTGCTGAGTGTGATTGAGGAACTTCCTCAGACATTTTACAAAACAAAAAAACATGAGTTCAGAGACGCTCAGTTTAAAGAAACATAATCCTGCGTAAATAGACTGTTAAAAATTCTTTGAGAAAACTGAACAAGTCTGGCAGCATCTGTGATAAGAAAGCAGAATTAGTGATTTGAGTCCAGTGACTCTTCGTCAGATCTGTTAGCATCTATGAAAAGATGGTGTTTTTATACTGAAAGCTATTTGGAGGAATAGAGGGCAAGGAGAGAGGTGACTGGACAGCTGGAGATGGAGTCCAGTGAGATGGGGGTGGGGCGGGTGTAGAGAGAGAGAGATGAAAGTGGTAGATAAAAAGGATTATGGATAACAGGACAGAGAAAATATGAATAAGTGATAATAAAAGCTAGGAGTAGAAGAAAATGGGTGAGCTGTACTGAATGCAACCCATATAATATGATAAAAGCCCTAGGAGTATGTGAGAATGGGTGACTGTGCTAAAAGCAACTCGTAACAGGGCTGGGTGTCGGGTGGGTAAAGACATGAAGTACAGAATATGGCTGTAAAGTTATTGAACTCTTAGCCTTAGAGGCCACAGGAACTACAAGTGGAAAATGAGCTGTTGTTCTTTAAGCTCGCGCTGAGGCTCATTGCACCCGGCCTGCAGTAGAACAAAAGAGAAGTACAGCGCAGGAACAGGCTCTTCGGCCCTCCAAGCCTGTGCCAACACATTTAGCACTTCCATACTGAAACTGTCTTCATTTACACGTTCCTTATCTGTCTATTCCCTTCCTATTCATGTATTCGTCCAGGTGTTTCTTGAATGCTGCTAGTGCGTCTGCTTCTACCACCACCTCTGGCAGCATGTTCCAGGCACACTCCACTCTTTGTGTGGAAAACTTGCCTCGCACACCTCTTTTAAACTCACCGCTCACACCCCCACACCTTGAACCTGTGTCTCCTGGTAATTGACTCCTCCACCACAGGAAAAAGCCACATATTTTCCACTCTATCCATGCCGTTCGCAATCTCATAAACTTCTATCAGGTCACCCCTTAAACTCTGCATTCCAGTGAAAACAAACTCAGTCTATCCAACCTTTCTTCATAGCTAAAATTCCCCCATACCAGGCAATATCCTGGTAAATGTTTTCTGTGCCCTCCAAAGCATCCACATCCTTCTGGTAGTGTGTGGACCAGAGCTGTACGAAATATTCCAAGTGTGGCCCAACTAAAGTTCTACAAACCTGCGGCATAACTTGTCTATCCTTATACTCAATGCCCCTTTTGATGAAGGCAAGTCTGCCATAGGCCTTTACCACCTTATCTACCTGCGCTACCACCTTCAGTGATCTGTGGACCTGCATACCCAGATCCCTCTGCATATCAATACTCCTAAGGGTTCTACCATTGACTGTGTAATTTCGATCTGTACTTGATCTTCCAAAATGCATCACCTCACATTTGTCTGGATTAAACTCCATCTGCCATTTTTCTGCCGACGCCTCCAACTGAGCATATCCTGCTGTATCCTCTGATAGTCTTCCCAAGTACAGGTAAATTGCTGCTTCATCTGAAAGGTATGTCTGGACCCTTGGAAAATGAGGAGGTAAATGGGCAGGTATTACACCTTCTGGGATTGCAGTGGAACATGCATGGGGGTGTGAGTAGATATTGGGAATGGAGTGGTCTCTGTGGAATGCTGATAAGGCAGAGGAAGGAAATATGTGTCTAATCATATAATCCTGTTGAAAGTGACCAAAATGATGGTTCACAATCCTTTGGATGTGGAGGCTAGTGGGGTGGTAGTGAGGACAGGAGGGCCCTATCGTTGTTATGGGAGGCAAGGGATGGAATGTAGGCAAAAGCGCAAGAGAGTTTGAACACTAAGGGTCCTGTCAACCAGTAGGGATTTAATTTTCAAAGAAAGTACATTCTGCAATCTTGAAATGCAACAATGGGCAAATTGAATTACCATAAATCAGTGACCCTTCAATACATTCTAACCTGCATGGCACGACATTACTGTTAGAAAACAAGGAGGCTGACCACAAGAAGTGGAATGGTAGCTGGCTGGGAATGTGCATGTTAGTGACCAGTATGTTTGCAGAAAGTTCAACAGTTTGAGTCGAATCTCAGATGTTTTATATCAGCCTTGCCTTCTACAAGTGTATTTCAAAATAGTGAATTGCCTATTTTGAATGGTTAGCCATTTTGTATTCTCTTTTTGTTTTGCAGATGAAATCCAGAAATACTTTGGACAGAGTATTGCACTTTATTTTGCCTTCTTGGAATATTTCACCTTTGCCTTGTTTCCCATGGCTGTAATTGGAGTGCCTTACTATGTATTTGCATGGCAAGATTATGACAAGTACGTAGTGTTTGCCACTTTCAACCTTGTGTGGTCAACCATTGTCCTGGAAGTCTGGAAGCGTTGGTGTTCTAGACTTTCCTATAAGTGGGGGACACTGACAATGAAGAGAGAGTTTGAAGAACCTCGGCCTGGTTTTCATGGAACGTTGGGAGTGAATCCAGCAACTGGCAGAAAGGAACCTACATATCCTTCTTACCGGCGACAGCTGCGAATCTACTTGGTTTCAGTGCCTTTTGTCTGCTTGAGCCTCTACATCTGTATTTTCGTTATGATGATCTACTTTAGAATGGAGGATCTGGTCTTGGCCTATAATGAAGAGGCTCAAACAATGTTCAGCAATATCTTGCTGTATGTCCCAAGTGTTGTTTACGCTTTAGTTATTGAAATAATGAATCGAATCTACAGATATGCTGCCATATTTTTAACTTCGTGGGGTGAGTATAGTCCTCTTTCAAAGCTGATATTGCTGACCTTAAAGTTCTTGTAATTTTTTCTCCCATGCAATTGATGTTGACCGTGTTCCACATTAACTAAACTGATGGGTTCTATTTAAAATGATTAAAAAGGGAGGAGAGGTAAAAGAAGGATTTTTAGTTTTACATAACAAGTAGTTCCGATCAAGAATGCATCTCTTGCAGTGATGGTGAGAGAAGATTCACAGTAACTGTCCAAAGATTAAAATGGGAATACGTGGAAAATTTACTTGCAAAGCAAAATCTTGTGGTGTATGAAGGGCTATCCAATTAGTTCACTTATACCCTGCTATCTAACAAAAGAGTCATCACAGGCATGATAGGTTGAAGAGCCTACTTCTGTGCAATATCATTTTCATTCTGTGAATATGACTTCTAACTTAGTCATGAGAAAGTGTTTCAAATGAATATGCAAAATGGCAGAAGTAGGCCATTTGGCCCCTCGGTGTCTGTTCCACCATTCAGAGGATCATGGTTGATATGGTTGTTTCAAATACCATATACCCATCAGCCCCCTACAACCATAGTTGTTGGTGGTGGTGGAAAAGAATCTCCTTAGCTATGTCCTAAAAAGATAACCCTTGGCTGTGGAGAGAGATCCACTTTTAGTTGCCATGCCACTGATTTGACATTTGCAGGCATGCCTTCCTTTTTTGGATGCGGGAGAGAAGCGTATCTAAAAACATTACAAAAAGTCAGTCACTGACTCAGCAATTGTTAAGATGTTAGATTTCAACAGCTGTCAGCTTTCAACTTGGCCCCATTCTATTTTCCTGCCTTTATTCTTTTTTTTTTAATATTCTTTTTGAAAAACTGACTTAATTATCTTTTTTAAATGATTACAGTCTTGTGCTTAATAGCTATATCCAGTACAGCTTCCATGTTCTGATAACCCGGTGTGAGTGAAAATATTTGTCCTTAATTTCCCCTTCATTCGAGTGATAAGCTTTGATCTTGTTGGTCAACAGAAACAATCAATCTTCCAACATTTTTCATAATTTTGGATGCCTCTTTGTTTTCCAATAATGTTCTTTCTCGATTGATTATGTCACAAGGATTTCCTCTCTGAGGGTCATTGGTCTTTGGAGTTTCTTCCACAGAATGCAGTGAGAGCTGGATAATTGAATGTACTCTGATTAGACAGATTTTTGATCAATAAGAGTCAAAAGTTTCTGGGGTATAGGCAGGCAAGACAGTGGAATTAAAGCCACAGTCAGATCAGCCACGATGTAATTGAAAGGTGAAGAAAACGTGGTCTGAATGGCCTACTGCAGTGACCTAATGATATTTTAGTACACTTGAATAATACTTTTACAATATCATTTTAATTGATTTATTAATTATTACTTCCCATTCTTCCTAGGGCTGCATCAAGTAATCTAGTTAAGGGCTAATGAATGTCATTTACAGAATCAATTTTATATTAATTTTATGTCTAGTGCCACATGTTAATAAAAATATAACTTAATATTATTTGCCTTTGTGACCATTGTGTTGTTGCATTAGTGCTGTAGAGGTTTTTTTTTGTATGTGAGGTCCTTGATGCCTGTTCTGTGATGCCATTTAGGTACTTGTTCTTATTATTTTCCACAATGTCATACTTTACATTTAATATCCCAGTCCACAAATCAACATACAAAAAAAGGCTAACTTGGTCCGATTTATTGAACGAATTAAATAACTTTTTAAGTAATACATGGAAATAATTATTTAGAGCAAGATACATAATCTGAAAATAAGACAATAACATTTTAATTGGACCTTTTTGGAAAAAAATGTTTCTTTGCTATTAGAGCAACAGGATATTCAAATTAACTAATGGATTTATCCCTTGGTGAATCTCGAAGGTGCAGTTTGGATAATGCTAATTATTGTCCAGTCATAAATTTGACCAAAGAACCTGGAAGTTAGCGACAAAAACTAGCCTCTTTATGACATTGAATATATTTTGTGTTACAACCATGTATTACAGTTCTACAGCTTTGCTCTAGATGATGAATTGAAATAACTCCATGGAGGGTGGTATCCCAGCACCAAGTCACCCTTTATTTACGCATGTACAGTACATGGATTCTGACCAGCTATCTCAGAGCCAGCTCCTAGAGTGAGGAGAATCCCTGTGACTCCTGTTTATATCTGTCGGCCAGGATTCCCTGACTGGATGAGGTTAACAGCCCCAATCAGGGAACTCAATGAGATCTACCTGGCCAAGTTTGTTCCAATCCCTATAGAACACATACCCTTCTGGCTCTGAGTGAGTGTGTTACCCACTGGACCACAGTTTACATCACAGACTGCAAATTGATGAGACCTTGGTATCTTAGAGAGTGAGTTATCATTGTCTACTTGCAAGCCTTCTCCATGCACTTGCTTTGATGACTCAGATTTTTTGACCTTAAATTGTCTATTATGCACCCTGTAAATTTTGTAAGTTAAGTTAAATCATCCAGCTACCCAAAGCATTTTTTTTAACCTAATGTTTTAAACAGTAAAGAAAATTTTTTTTCCATTGAATACACTGACTAGATCTGATTACTTGGAACCAGTTTTATGTAGTGATTGTCACATAGCAAACTTTTTAAAATTAGTTCACCCTAACTGTATTAAATCACACACATGCAAAAATTTGGAAATTTCTATTTTATGTGCAGAAATCCAGCTACTTTAGAGAAATGATTGTAGATTTCATCAGATACTTGAGCAGTAATGAGGATGAAATGTACTTTCAGAATTTACAGGACTGGGATGTTCTGTCGACCGAAACTACATCAGTTATTGGACAATCAGAAGTTCTATTTCAACAGAAGTAAACCATTCAACAAACTCCTTTACCCGCTCACTGTAGCCCCAACCACCATTTGTTTGGGTCATTGCTATTGTGCTATTATTTTGTTAATTGGCACCTGAACTTTTTTATCCACTCGTGGGATGTGGGCATCACTGGCTGGACCATCCTATTTGCCCTTGAAGTTGGTGAGATGCTGCCTTGAACTACTGCAGTCGTATGCTGTAGAGAGACCCACTATACTGTTAGCAGGGAGTTCTAAGATTTTGATTCAGCAACTCTGAAGGAACAACAAAATATTTCCAAGTCAGGATAGTGAGTGGCTTGAACTTGCAGATGGTGTTCTTGAGTATCTGCTGCCATGTATTGCATTTAAATAGCTGTATTTCATATCAAGTTGTAATGAAGTGCTCTCTAAACTCTGTTTACTTCTTGAAGATCTTGTTCCACTGTTGCCACTAAAGGTGGAGCTTAGGGGCTTCCCTTCCTAAACACGTTCGTCCGTCTGTCTGTCTCCTTTTCAAAAGGCTGTTGAACAAGCTACCAATCGATTGTCCTAATACTCCCTTATGTGGTTCTGTTAAACTTTTTGACATAAGTGCTCCTTTAGTATGTTAATAGTGCTGTGAACTAAAACAAGTTTGCCATCCAGCTGGAGCTAGAATATGGACTATTGATTTTTGTTTTTACAACATTTGTGTTCTTTATTTTTTTTTAAAAAAGATCAAGGAGTTAGCAGTTTTTTGAGCAGGCACAGGAGAGGAGTTGAAGCCTACCCTGGTCAGCCATAATCTTGTTGAATGATAGGTTAGGCTTGAAGGGATGAATGGTCTATTTCTGCTCCTTTTTTTAATATTCATTTGATCTCTACATTCACCAAGTCAGGTGGATTTTTTTGAATGCTTTTAGAATTGTCTCTCAATCAAATGCATTGGTTCGCCTACTATTTCTTTTACATTTAATTTGCTTATTCTGCTATTCCCTGCTCTCTCCTGCAGATATTTCCATCATGTCCTAAGAGCTGACTGGGAAAATTTCAATACTTGCTATTAAAATCCTGTCTGAAATCGCCATGTAATAGTTTGGATAGCATATTCCACTTCCTGAAACAAACACATCTCCATTAAATAATTTTAAGAGTTTCTAATTGTCACAATTTAATAGTCTGTTCCTGAACTAAATTAAATATAATCAGAAGGCTTATGGTACATTTCAGGGATTAAACACATTTCATACACAAATCAGACCAGTTTCTCAGCTTGAGTGCTAACATATGTGAGCAACCTTAACTTAGCAAAAGTGAAACCTCCAACTTGGACTTACTGCTGCCAGACACATTTGATAGTTCACATCTTAGCAAACTGTTTTAGCCCTTTTTAAAAAAACTTGTTCTCAAATTCTTTTGCTGTCTCTCATGCAGACTTGCACATATATGCACAATTTTGAACATACCAAAATCCAAGGACTGTGTGACCTTTTGCATTTTCAAGAATACCTCTTCCATTTTACTGTCATGGTATTAGTCTTTTTGGCATTTTGTTTATTAATACCTGTCAATATTGTGTTGACATTGTTACTGGAATTGTAAGCCAGAGGCCCAGACTAATTCTTTGGGGACATATGTTCAGGCTCCACCACAGCACCTGACAGCATTAAGATTAATTGATAAATCTGGAAGTGGAAGCTAATCTGAGTAATGGTGGGAACTATCACTAATAGTTGTAAAAACGTCTTTCAGAGTAGGAAATCTGCCCTTATGTGGCCCTGCCTACGCAGACACCAGACCTATGGCAATTAAGTTGATTCTTAATTGGTGTCTAAAAGGACCCTACCAGGGCTACCAGTTGTAGTAACAAGGTGTGGAGCTGGAGGAACACCGCAGGCCAGGCAGCATCAGAAAGGCAGGAAAGTTGACGTTTCGGGTCTGGACCTTCAAAAATGGTAGATGTACCATTTTGCGACTCACCATATGGACTGCATTAGTCCCAGAAGGCCTTCTCGAAGGGCAATTTGGGATAGGCAACAAATGGTGACCTTGCCAGTGACACCCATGTCCCATCAAAAAATAGACTTTGCAACCAAGAGATATTGAAACCAACAGAAATCATCTGACTGATTTCAAAATGTTAAATATTAGAATATGATTGCGTGATACTTGTTTATTGAGGAAATATACTTCACTTTCCTGTTCTTTGTCCTTTAAGAGTGACCAATATTTAATTTACTGTTGATTGTTATATGTATTTTGTATTGTAGAAAACCACAGGCTTGAATCATCTTATCAAAATCATTTAGTTTTGAAAGTGTTGGTGGTAAGTACATTCATGTGAATCTGGTGAATAGCATTCTTTTAATTGTGTATCATAAAATGATTGGTAAAAACTGTGCTACCTACCACTAATCAGAAGACATCCATAGTGTGAAAAGAATCTGGGGCTCCAAGGAGTGAATTTGAAAGAGAAATTGCATAAATTAGGCTTACATTATCTGAAAATATAAGAAGTTGGAGCATGATATGATTAATTTCTAAAAAGTTCAATTAGTAATGGCAAAGGGACTGTTTTTCTTTTTGGGGTTGAAGGTATATTGGATAAGGGAATGTAACCTTAAAATTGGAGCTAAAATATTCAGGAAAGGAGTTAGAAAACACTTCCCTGTGCAGGTGGTAGGCGTATGGAACTCTAACCTACAAAAAGCAGTAGATACAGGGGGCATTTAATAACAAATCTCATTATGCTTTTTTGTTAACAAAATATATTCATACGGTTAAAATTAAAATGCAGATCAACCACAATTTTAATGAATGACAGAATTGGGGAGGGAGTTGCTGGAGGGGAGACTTGATAATGCTATTCAAAACCAGGAGGTGTCTAAGTAAAGTAGAAAGGAAGCCATTTTTCCCATTGGCCAGAGTACACTGAAAGTGAAAGGCAAAAGAACAAAAGGTGACATGAGGAATAAGTGAGTCTCGGATCTCGATTTGACTGCCCATGGGTGTGTTGAAGGCAGATTCGTTAGTGGCTTTCAAAACAAATTGGATCTTTTCTTGAAAAGCGAACGTTTACAGAGCTGTGGGAAAGGGTGGAAGCATGAGTCAGCTGAGTGCTCTTGCAGAGAACTGGCACAGACACAATGGTGTAATATTCTACAATTCTATTTCTATGATCAATGCTAATGTTTATACTTCACAAGCCTTCTTCCACAATCTTCATTTCACTCACATCAATATAGCCTTTTCCATTCCCCCTCCTGTGTCAATATAACTTCCCCTTAAAGGCATCTTTACTGTTTGTTTCACTTCACATAGTGGCAATTTCCACATTCTAACCACTCTCTCTAAATAGAGGTATTGATAGGAAAGCAAAATGTTCTACTGGATCTTTACAGTGTATTGGTTAGACCACAACTACAGTTCTGGACATCCTGCTTTAGGAAGGCTGTGAATATCTGTGAGAAAGTGTGGAGGAAATTTACCATAATGCCTGCGGGGATGAGTGATTTTTGCTGCAAGGTTAAGTTGGAGAATCTGTGGTTGCTCCCTTTTAAGGCAAAAGAGGATGAGGGACAATCTGATAGATGTACAAGATTATGACAGGTTTAGGTAAGATGGACAATAAAACATTGTTCCCATTAGCTGATAATACAAGGACTGGGGACACAGACTTGGAGCTTTTGGATAAGAAATAGAGGGAACATGTGAGGAAAACCTTTTTTTTTTAAAATAAAGGAAGCTGCATACAAGGTTGGAGAAAGTAGAACAAATCAATAATTTCCAAGGATATTGGATGTGTATTTGAGAGAAACGATTTTGCAGAGATACAGAATAGGAGGTATGGACTGACTGGATTTTTGTTCTGAGAACAGTGTCTTGTGCAGTTATGACTCTTGCTGCATAGTATTTATAATTGTTCCCAACATATGACTGAATGTAATTGATGTTAACCTAAAATCTATTGAAGAAACTATATCAAATGCTGGAAGAACAAAACTAAGCTAAGATCTTTTATTCAGGTCTCTGACCTTGCATATTGAGTTTGATATCTGCTTAAAATCTTGTCTTAACCATTTCCTTATGCATATCTACTTTTCTGTTTTCCAGTTCAATTTTGTAAACTGTTTTGCATCCCTTTTCTACATTGCATTTATCCTTCAGGATATGAAACTTCTTAGACAGGTAAATATTTTGAAATGGAAGTTACTTAATTTGTTTCTTTGTTGAAGCCTCCAAAAGGGGAAGACTTTTGTAAATCCACCTTAGTTCTATATTTTGCTCGAAGTAGCATCTTCTTGTTTATGCTTTTGCATTTGTTTCTCGAGGAATTACCTGTGTTATCTGAATAGAAAATTGCACTCATGGTATTTAGTGAATCTCACTTGATGTTGTTCAGAAATGCTGCCTTGTTGTTTGTGTAGGTGTCAGGCATACATCTTGTGCTTGACCACTTCTGTGAATTCTGTGCAGACAAGATTGTACTGAAACTTTGTGCCCATGATGACTTAAATTCCTACTCGGCTCCCCTTGTTCTGCCCCTTGCCCCTCGCCCCTCGCCTGCTTACCTTTCCTTATCTGCTCACTTGTCTTTTTCTTTGCCCTGTTTCTCGCTCGCTCTTGCATATCTTACTTCTGTATTTCTGGCAGTACTAGCTGTGAAGTGTCTTTCAACATCCTGAAGTGTTGAAAGGTGCTAAGGAAATAAATATCCTTTTGAGCATTAGTCAATGCTAAATTTCAACCCTGACTTGCAGAGTCCTGTTCCAATTTGGTACTCTTGAACTTCTCATTCTTCTGCTTCAGCACTGCATCTAAACCTTTAGCCGCTGGACCTGTTACTCTGAAATTCTTTCCATAAATGCCTCTGCTGTCTATATCCCAGCCTTTCTGACAGTAAATCCATCTAAATATAATTCTTTCCCCTAGAGCATTTAATTACATAAAAGTGCACTGTAGACTGGTTTATTTTTCCTGATGCAGGCCATAACATTTGTAGTGGCTAGCAAATTGCTGTCATTGAAAGTGTGAGTCTCTATCTAATCTTTAATAATAATTGCACTAGGCTGTGAAATTCAATACTTAAAATAACATTAGATTGCTGTTGAAAGCTTAGTAAATTTAACCAGTCAGTAAGTCAGCCTTGTTGAGAAGAAAGATCTTGGATTTAATTCTTTGCCCGGTCTGACCTAGCTTATCCTCTTAGAGTGGCCCAAACACCCCTGCATTACGGGAAATAGAATTTGTTAACAATTTGGCTTCTGATTGCTGAAGTGTACACTATCTTCTGTCTTAAAAACTGTAAGAACTGTGGATGCTGTAAATCAGAGATAAAATGTAATTGCTGGAAAAGCTCTAAGTCTGGCAGCATCTGTTGAGAGAAATCAGGGGCATTCTGAGGAAGGGTCACTCAACCCGAAACATTAACTCTGATTTATCTCCACAGATGCTGCCAGACCTGAGTTCTTTTTCCAGCAATTTCTATTTTTGTCAGTATCTTCTGCCTCTCTTTCACAATTTTAAGAGGATGTAGGAACAGTGTTCTGGAGGTTCACAGCTCGACATATCTGAAAGTGGGAGGAAGAATTGAGAAAGCATGTGATTCTGGACTTCTAAGAAGAGGTAGAGTGCAAAAGGAAGGATGTTGAATTAAAATGTTTCCAGATCTGGCTGGAGGATTATGTCCAACTCTGGGCACTAAATTTTCAGAAGGATGTCCAAGTCTTGAAGAAGGTACTGTCAAGATTTGCTAGAATTAGTCCCGGCATGAGGAACTTTTATTTAACTTGAGAATCTGGAATTATACTCCTTTTGAGTGGAGATCTAATATGTATAAAATTACAAAGCATTTTCATAAAGTAGACAGGGAGAAACAGCTCACTATTGAGTGTCTACAACCAATGGAGACAGATTTAAGGTAATCAGTAAAAGAACCAAGAGAGAGAAGGATTTTGAAACAATTTGTTATGACCTGGATTGTCCACTGTCTGAAAGAATAGTGGAAGCTGATTTAATAGCAACTTCCAAAAGGGAATTGGATGAATAGTTGAAAAGGGGGAAAAAAAAAATACAGGCCTACTCGGATAGGCTAGAGGAATTTCACTAATTGCTGAGCTCTTTGAAAACACAGCACAGGCGTGAGGCGCTAAATAACGACCTCCTGATCTAAATGATTCTAAGATGACGACTGCATGGGGTTGGTGGTGTGAAGCTCACTATGCAGTAATAGTTTTCAGACATTCACTGCTACAGTTCCTATGAATAATGACCACTTAGTAGGATACACAGGTTGAGCATTGCTGAAAAAAGGCAGAATGTCAGAATGCTTTGGGATTTCTATTCTGCATGCTATAAATTGGTGGTATTGGCAAATTGGTGATTGATATTTGCTAAAGTAGGGTGGACCAAATTTCATTCTGCAGGATAATCACTACCCTGATCAGATTTCTTGCTATGTATCAGACCAACTCATGGGCCTAAGCCCTAATTTTTGGTCCTGGAAAATCACCAGTCTATCTCGGATTATCTTAATGGTAAGTTATCTCAAAAATTTGAGCAAAGGTGAAGCTAGTTGCTTGTCACAGAAATGACTAAGATGGTATATGAATTTCACTATTGGTGTCATGCCAGGTGTGTAGACCATATGTCCCAAAGGCTGGCAGATTGTGTCAAATGGTAGATCCTTTCAGCAGTTCACAACAAGCAAGTACCCTAACTGTACCCTAGCAGCCTGCGCTTTCAAAACTCTGAGCACTGCATCCGACATTAATGTGATTTCATGATTGGAACTGAACAAATGTTGTCTAGATATGCAAAGAATTACACTAATTAACAGTTTAGGATTGTATGTATGGTTTGCAGTTATGGTGCATTGCATGTGCTGAAAGTTACATATATAAACACATAGGAGTTTGTTTGCAGAATGAAATAGCATGTATTTACTCTGTCTCTGTTTCGACTGAACAGAGTAAATTATAGCCATGCTCTGGTTCACTTCTCAAGGCAATACCTTGACCAATCAGTCAACCTGTCTGGTTTAAACTTTAAACAAAACCTGTCAGTTAATTGTCATTCATTGTTAAAATTGAACTTCTGCATTTTTTAAAAAATGCATTATCTTGTAGCATGTCTGACTTATTTTGTGTTCTTCCAGAATCTGGCTGCCTTACTCATTACCTCACAAATAATCAACCAGTTTGTGGAATCCTTATTTCCTTACTGGCTTCAAAAACGTCGCAAAAAGATTATCAAGCAGAAGCTAAGTATATCAAGTAAAGAAAAGGAGCTTCCATTAACTGATCAAGTCAAGCTGGAAGGGAAAATGGACACGTTCTTGGTGAGTTTCAATCATAGTGTTAAAGTTGAGCAAAGTAAGGTGAAACAGGTTACAAGACTACCATGTCAAACCCCTTTGAACCTTAATGTCTTCAGCCTTGGAATGATCCTGGACTTGTAAGACTGAATTTCAATTTTTTTTTGTAGGAAGGTAAGCATGGGTGGGTTTGGTACACTTGGCCCTAGTGCTGTCCCTCAAATTCTGTACTATTGGTTATTAATTGCATCCACTCAGTAGCAGTTCAGTTAATTGTAGAGACCCATTTATAGGAAGCTGTGAGCTCCAACCTCTTGGGAAAACCTTTTGACCAACATTTGGCAGGACTGGAAATGATTTTGCCAGGAGATGGGTGAATGGGATGAGCAGATAAGGACTGGTGATCACCAAAAGAAGTGTAAAATAATGCATGTCAAGAGGAAACTTGAAGAATAAATGTTCAGTGCACGATGATAACAGACTCAAGATCCATCATGCAACAACATCATTTCTTGGAAGAGTGAGTCTGGGTAGATAATAAAACCATATGATAAAATGGCAAATGGCTTCTTGGGTTTTGTGGTGAGGGTCATACTATGCAAGAGCAAAACAACGATAATAAAATTGTATAAAGAAATGACTGACCAAAGTTAGAGCATTGAATGTGGTTTTGGAAACTCCATTACTGTGTAACTTTAAGATAAAAACAGAAATTCTTATTATATTACATTATACAAGGAGAGACTTGAAGTACTGGAATGATTGTTGCCTGAGCAAGGATGATTTAAGAGATGATTGAGTGGAAAGTATTAAGAATTTCGATATGGTAAGAAAGAAGAGACCGGTTTCTCCAGTGATGTAAGGATCATTGAAGCACCCATCCTTTTAAAATCGGAACTAATAGACCAAGGAAAAGAGGAGAAATATTTTTACACAAGCTTGTTAAAGCAAGAAATACTTTGTCACCAAAGGTACTTGATGCAAGTCTATTTTGTATTTTCTGAAGAAATATTGGACCAATATTTGCACACTAGAGGGAACTAAAAGTAGGTCCGAAGGAATGCCATATAGAGAGCTCTAACAAAGGGCTGGCAGACAAATGATGAGTCAACTAGCTTCCCTCTGCATTACATATCCCTAATTTGGTATTTATTTCTGTATGTTTGGGAACATAATTGAGTTTAAAAAGAATTTAGTCCATATAGCTATTGTCTTGGCAACAGACGTTTTCTTACGTTATTGAGGAAAAAGGAATTAAGAAAGATTTGTAGTGATTGTAATGAGGTAGTCAGGTGGACCTCATTGAATGAGTTTCCTGATTGGACCAGATTAACAGCCCCAATCAGGGAGCCCTGGCTGACAGATTGAAAAAAAAACAGGAGTGTCAGACATCCTAACACTTTGAGAGCTAGATCAGTGTTAAGGACTTTCCATGTACTAAAGACTTAGTGATGGATACTGGTACCTGCAGTTATTTCAAGTTTGTGCTTATGTACAATGCCTTTCACAACCTGAGGACATCCCAAAGTGCTTTGTAGCTGATAGTGTTGTATTGTGTGGAAAGGAGGCAACCAAATCACACCTAGGCAACACCCACAAACAGTGAGGTCAATGAGTACATAGTCTGTGATTGTTCAAGAAATATTGGCCAGGACGTTGTTTGGGAGAATTTGCTGTGTTCTTCCTTAAATGTTGCCACTGGATTTGTTTGTGTTCCACTTAAATGACAGAGACTGGCCTTGGTTTAATGTCCAATCTGAATGATAGTTTCTTAATGGTGCAGCACTCCACTCAGGACTACATATTTAGTACCCTAGTTAAAGCAAAGGTCTATTGAAACCCCTCCCATTACAACAAAAAGGTATGTATTGTTTGAAGGTTCTGGGTTCAGTTCACACCTCAAGACTTGGAGCACAAAGTTGACAATGGAATGTAGTTCTGAGTGAATGCTGCACTGTTGAAGGTGCTGCCCCATTTGTCAGTTTGGGTGAATGTAAAATGACCCATGGCAGTAGTTCAAAGAACAGACCTTAGTCCTGGCTAATATCCTTTAATTAACATCAGAAAACAGACTGACTCATTAACTCATTGCTTTTTGTGGAATCTTTCTATGCATAAATTAGTTGCCATATTTCCTATATCACAACAGTGATTACATTTCAAAAGCACTTTTTAGTATCTTTAAACCACTTTGGAACACCCAGTGGTTGTGAAAAGTTCTATATAAGTGCAAATTGTTATTGACTGTGTCAAATCCTATTTGTTAGCTATCTATAAATTTTGTTGTTTGTTTATTTATTCATGGGATGTGAGTGTCACTCGCTGGCCAGGACTTACTGCCTGTCCCTAGTTGTCCTTGAGAAGATGGTGGTGTGCAGTCTTCTTGAACTGCTGCTGTCCACCTGCCGTGGGTTGACCCACAATGCTGTTTGGGAGGGAATTCCAGGATTTTGACCCAGCGACATTGAAGGAGTGGAAATATGTTTCAGTGGCTTGGAGGGGAGCTTGAAGGTGGTGGTGTTTTCATGTATCTGCTGCCCTTGTCCTTCTAGATATAAGTGGTTGTGGGTTTGGAAGGAACTGTCTGAGGATCTTTACAACATGCACTGCAGAAATTCAAACAGTACACACTGCTGCTACTAAGCTTTGGAGGTACAGGGAGTGGATGTGGTGCCAGTCAAGTGAGTTGCTTTGCCCTGGAAGGTGTCAAGCTTCTTGAGTATTGTTGGAGCTGTACCTATCCAGGCAAGAGGGGAGTATTCCATCACACTCCTCCTCATTTGTATCTTTGTAAATGGTGGACAGGATTTGGGGATTCAGGAAGTGAGTTATTTGCCACGGTATTCCTAGCCTCTGACCAGCTCTTGTAGCTACTGTGTTTATGGCAGGTCTGGTTGAGTTTCTGGTCAACGGTAATCCCAGGGATGATGTTAGTGCAAGATTCAGTAACACCAATGAATGTCAAGGGGTGATGGTTAAGATTGTCTCTTATTGGAGATGATCATTGCCTGGCATTTGTGTGGCGTGGATGTTACTTGCCTCCTGTCAGCCCAAGCCTGAAAATTGTCCAGATATTGTTGCATTTGGATGTGGACAGCTTCAGTATCTGAGGAGTCACGAATGTTGCTAGACATTATGCAATCATTGGCAAACGTCCCCACTTCTGACCTTTACGGAGGAAAGATAGTTGATGAAATAGCTGAAAGTGGTTGGACGTAGGACACTACCCTGAGAAATTCCTGCGGAGACGTCCTGGAGCTGAGATGACTGACGTTGTGGTTGCACAACGTCTTCTGATGTGTCAGGTATAACTTCAACCAGCAGAGGGTTTGTCCCCTGAAACCCACTGATTCTAATTTTGCTCGGACTCCTTAATATCACACTTGTTGAATGTGGCCTTGATGTCAAGGGCTGTCACTCTTACTCCACCTCTGTAATTCCGCTCTTTTTTGTCCTTGTTTAAATTAAGGCTGTGCTGATGTCAGGAACTGAGTGGCCCTGGTGGTACCCAAATTGGGCATCATTGAGGAAGTTATTGCTGAGCAGGTGTTCCTTGATAACATTGTTGATGACACCATCTATCACATTACTGATGATTGAGAATAGACTGATGGAGCAGTAATTGGCCGTGTTAGATTGTCCTGCGTTTCGTGTATAGGACATACCTGGGCAATTTTTCATTATCTGGTAGGTACCAGTGTTATATGTACTGGAAGAATTTGGCTAAGTGAGCAGCAAGTTTTGGAGAAATGTTCTTCAGTACTATGCTGGAACATAGAGCTTCTTGTCTTTGCAGTATCCAATGCCTCCAACCATTTCTTAATGTCACATGGAGTGAATTGAATTGGCTGAAGACTACAGTCTTGGGCTCTTCCATCATTGACAATGGGGATACTTGTGGAGCCGCAGCCTCCAGAGAGTTGTTCAATTGTCCACCACCATTCCCGACTCCATGTGGTAGGACTGCAGAGTTTAGATCTGATCTGTTGGTTGTGGGTTTGCTTAACTGCCTGTTACTTGCCACTTATCCTGTTTAGCACCCAAGTAGTCATGTTTGGTCACTTTTTAACAGGTTAACATCTCATTTCTAGCTATGACTAGTGCTGCTCCTGGCATGCCCTCTTGCATGCTCCATTGAACTAGGGTTCATCCCCAGCTTGATGGTAATGATTGAGGGATATTTTGGGCCATGTTGCTGCAGATTGTGCTAGAGTGCGATTCTACTGTTGTTGATGACCCACAGCACCTCATGGATGCCCAGTCTTGAGTTGCTTGATCTGTTTGAAATCTGTCCCATTTAGCATGGTGATAGTGCCACACAACATATTGGGGGTTATTTTTAGTGTGAAGGCAGTACTTTGTCTCCACAGGGTTGTCTCTCTTACTGATTGCCTGCCACAGATGCATCTGACCATGATGGTAGATTGTTAAGGAGAAGTCAGGTATGTTTTTTCCTCTTGTTGGTTCCCTCACCACCTGCTGCAGACCAGTCTAGCAGCTATGTCCTTAGGACCTGACCAGCTCGATCAGTTGTGCTGCAGCTGAGTCACTCTTGGTGGACCACAGTGCATTTAGCACCTTTTCTGCCCTCTGTGCTTCCTCCACTGTTCAACATGAAGGAGTATGGATTCATCAGCAGAGGGAGGATAATACGTTCTAATGAGCAGGACGTTTCCTTGCCCATGTTTAACCTGAAGCCATGACACTTTGTTGGGTCCGCAGTCAATGTTGAGGACTCCTAGGGCAACTCCCTCCTCACCTTTATACTACCATGCTGCTATCTCTGCTGGGTCTTTCCTGCTGGTGGGAAAGGACATATCCTGGGATGGTAATGGTGTCTGGGACATTGTCTGCTAGGTACAAGTCTGTGAGTATGACTGTGTCAGGCCTTTGCCAGTGTCCGTGAGACTGCTCTCCCAATTTTGGCACTAGCTCCCAGACATTGATGAGTAGGACTTGTTGTATATATAAAATTTGAACCTGTCAAATATAACACTGTACAAAATCTTGCATGTCAAAAATGT